TTTACTGTAATCCTGCTGACAGACAAACAAACAGCACTGAAAACATCACCTCCATGGCAGGTAAAAAGTGCAGAGTTAAAAAAATACATATTGTTTGCATGTGTTTATTTGTGTGGTCTTGCAGCAGCTCGTTGGCAGGTATAGATAGTCTATACGTCTCAGTGTTTGGAAATTGCAGCAATATGAGGATAACTGCAAAGATTGGGGGTTGATAAGTTTACCTTTTATGCTGCTTTGCACATTGACTACTGAAATTTAGATTCATTACTCAACCGACGCAAATAACACTGGATTGACTGCACTACCCCCACCTCACTGAGCACTCCATATCAAGCAGTCAGCCCCTATCGGGTCAATAGATTTTTAGCAACCAAGGCTACGCTTGTCAGCTTTAGCTGATTGCCTGACATATTTCCTCAGTGTCTCTTGGCTCATCTACAGTTGTCAGTTCTCCAGACGTGGCTGTTGAAGCCATGCCCCTGGCCGTTCAGTTAATTCTCTGTACAGCCTGTCTTTTTTTTTTTTCTTACCTGGACTCTAGCCAGTTCTGTCAGTCCTGATGTCTCCATTGCCCAGAGTGGCTCTGCCTATCTGGCTCTGGCCTTGGCGCATTAGATTTTCCCTTTTTCTCTCTCTGTCCCTCTATTTCCCTTCTGGGTTCCTGACCTCCCTTTATTTCTCTCTCACTCCCCCTCTATTCAACCCCCTCTATCATCCCACTCTATTTTGCCACTCAACTGCTCTTGCACAGCCTTCATTTCCCTCTCTGAACTTTTGCAGCAGTCCCAGAGGTGCTGTAGCTGAACAGCCAGCAGTGCCATATCAGACACTGTCAGACGTATGGAGGAATGGCCAAAAGCTGGGTGACTCCACCTCAGCAGCAAAGAACCAACGACGCATAACTGATAAAGACATTATTTGGTGAAGGTAACAGGTGACATAAAACACTCTCTATGGCAGCTTGGACAGAAGAGGTTGTTTAGTCACATTGGGCCTCAGCCTCTCTGTATTCTCTCTCAGAGTAGCTGGCCTGATGCAAATCGATAAAGTAATTTTCCCCCGGACTTGTCGTAATTAACAATCTGCCATGTGTGCTCAGGGGAACCGCGCCATTTGAATAGAAGCGACTTCCAGCTGCTACTGAGATGCCTGTGATTTAAGAAGTTTAAGCCAGGAAGATGAGAGGAGCTCTATATGAGTAAGCACTTAACACGGCCCACACACTCTTTGGCAATGGTTGTTACATAGTCTGTATCTAAACTGATTCAAGCTGACGTAAAGTGCTAACATCTGTATTTAAGTTGAGTGTGGGTTGTTTTTTTGTTGTTTTTTTTTGGATAAAAACACTATCCCTTCAAGAAACAAATGACCTTATTAAATTAGTCAAACATTACTCATGACCTGAAGCTCACCGTTCAGTTTCTAAAGTACAGAAGGTTATGTTTGTTACGCTCATGTAGTCACCCATTTAATAGGAAGGGAATGTCAATTTTGATATAAGGTATTTAGACATTTCTATGCAATACAGCATCAGTAGCCTAAGCCATACAAATAACAGTTTAAGCTTCAAGGAATTTCACAGGATCTGGGGAGATGTTATGTAATTGACGGATCAATAAACCACAGAGAAACGAGTTTTCAATATCCAGAACAACATCAAGAGCTTCCTATCATATTTTTACTGAACTTGACATGCATGCATCTCTGCATCTTCTTGTCATCCAACATAGAGTAAGCAATATTATTTGGCATGATAATACAGGGCAGGGTGAAAATTCAATATTATTGATTGTCTTTTTGTGGAATTGTATTTGTTGCATGACCAGAGTTGCCCAGTAACACATACTTAATGCATTCCAGTAATGTGATTGTTGCTTTTTTTAAGTGATTACATTTTGGAATTCAGTAATGATACAGTAATATAGTTACAAATTCCAGTACTGTTCATTGATTGATAGACAATCTGGGAGACTATTCACCAAGCTCACAGATCGGCTCACGCTGCCTAGCCCCTTTTATATAATTTTTTTTTTTTTTTTACAATAAACTGTGTTGCACTGCAACCAACCTGTGTTGAGACTCGCATTTGGGTCCAGATATCTGTGTAAGGGTAACAGCAACTAGCTTGGTGCAGGGACGGGAGTTGTATGGAGACTGCTATCTGCAGCAGTAACTGAAAAGCTGTCTTATTTAGTCAGTTGGTTGGTAAGCAGTCTGTTTCTGGCGCTTCTCAGAAAATGCTGCATGCGGTCAGTCAAAAAAGCTAATGTGAGCTGTTGCATCATAATATCTTTTGTTGTATTTTTACATGTGTTAAATACAGAAGATGTGAGGCTTTGGAGTTTAAAGGCACCATTGACAGAGCTATAAAAGTAATAAATAATGTAACTAATTGCTTAAGCTGGATTTGCTCCACAAAATGTTGAAGTCTTTAATGATTTTGACATTAGCACAACATTAGCACATTTTTTAAAAAAAAGTGTTATTTAGTTTTTTTTTGACACATGAAGACTTTTGGCTTATGTAATGTAAAACAGTAGAACACAGTTCATAGAACATCTCTTTGAATGTTTCATAAAAAAAAAAAGCTCTATTTTGCAAAGCCATTTCCACTCAAGGTCCATCCATCCATCGTCAACTGCTTATCCTGTGTACAGGGTCGCAGGGGGGCTGGAGCCAATCCCAGCTTGGGCGACAGGCGGGGTACACCCTGGACAGGTCGCCAGGGCCACACATAGACAGACGACCACCACACCTAAGGACAATTTAGGGTTACCAATTAACCTAGTCCACATGAACCCGTGACCTTCTTGCTGTGAGGCAACAGTGCTAACCACTCAAAGTCAATTTACTTAATTGTTCTGAAGCTTTCAACCGTATTACACGGATGTTCAATTAAAATTGAGTAGGTAGGTAGGTTTATTGTCACAATATAACTCGTTATAGAGTGAAATTGAGTTTTGTAACTCCCTTCTGCTACATAGCAGACAATATACATTAATAAAGAATCAATTATGAAAAATGGTAATCAGAAATAAACTATAATCAATGGAGCAGTGCTGAGGATGAATTGGAGTTTAAGAGCCTGATATCTTGGGGGGGCTCCTCTGCTGTCTGGTGGTGTGGCAACAGAAACTTCTATATCTCTTCCCAGAAGGCAGCAGGGTGAACAGGCTGTGGCTGGGTGGGTACTGTCCTTTAGTATCCTTTGGGCTCTGCGTAGTCACCTCACCGATATCACTGATGCTCAGGAGATGGGTACAATTAAAATTCCATTAAAAGTTGTGCTTTGCAGTTAATTTTTGACCTTGAAAAGAGCAGATGACAAATCTGTTCCAGACTCCTTATGATGAAGACTGTGTGATTGAAAGTTCAATTCAATTGAAGAACTGGGCCTTATGTGGTGACTGCATGAACTGTCAAGCTGAAATTGTTAAAATGTATGTTTCAATAAAGAAAAAATATTAATATTGTGATTGTATCCATCTTATATCATTAGCAACATGGATGATTAATACTTTTAATATCTCTCCATAAGTATTTTATCTTCTTTTACAATCATGACAATCATTTTTGAAGCAGTCTTAGCACCCTGCTGTTAAATGCCGCTTCAGAGGCTTTTCAAGTGTTCCAGGGAGATACACTCATGAACATAAAAAGCAGCACAATCAAACATGTGCAAGTTTTGGAATTAATGAAGGCAATGTTTATTGACGTGTAATCAGCGTAATTATCCAGAAGAAGGCAAAGGTGAATTCTAATCGCTGTCAGCATAACTTTTCCAGATGATCATCTTCATGTCTCTCTTTACAGACTCATTGTCCCAGAAAGACAGCTCTCCATTGATGAGGAATAAGTAGCCGTCAAATGCAGCATGCAGCCACAGCAGTGGCATTAGTCATGTGCCAAATATATACAGCCCACTTAACGTGCATTAAATATGCTCTTTGCTTCGAATGCACTGATGAGGTGAATCTAGGTAAAAGCCATTATCTCTCGCTGATTTGCCTTATTAAAGCCATGCCATGAGGAGACAGAAATGAAGCGAAGCAACGGGAAGGATTTTGAAGCTTAGAGGTGATTTGTGTAAACAGGAGTTGATTCAATAACAGGAAGAAGTGCTCAATACTTACACAGTAGCAATTGTGGGGGTTTAAACAAAAAAAAAAGTATCATCATCAATAAAAGACTAAAATAATATATCACTCACTGTCATATATATACTGCACTACAGTATTATTTTGGGGTGGCCAATCGTTTTTTTGGGGTGGCATTGGGAACCCTGGCAGTAATTCTGTCTCCAGCTCTGCTTGTACATTCAGTGCAGGTCCTCTAAATAACTGGATGTGTGTTCAGTTGAGCGTTTATGGGAGATTTTGAGATGATGTGTGAAATAGAGGTTTTCACTGCCACCATAAAAGAGGAGAGTCCAGGTGATCAGTCAAATTTATGTCAGTGTTGAATTGCATATTTCTTTCCCTCTGTGAAATGAACTGACCACAACAACACTGCAATACGCCCTGCTGTTAAAACTGCAGTGTTATTAAGCATACAAGGTTTAATTTGTTTGTAGGTAATAATGGGCTGCATGGAGAAGCGTGACACTAATAAGTCTATGAAGTTATTTGTGAAGCCACAACTTGAGAAATAAATAACAGCAGCTGCAAAGACCTGGTTTCATATGGTCCCATTTGGAGTTATATGGCTATGAAATGTGAACTATTGACTCCAGAAACAGGCTGAGAGTGTGACTATATTGCCTTTGTTGGCATTTGTGTGTGGTGTGTGTGTGTGTGTGTGTAGGTTTACCTTTTATCGCTGACATGAGGGATTGTGTGGTCTACAGACAAGAAACAACAACCTGTTCCACCTGACAGCGTGGCGGAAAGGAGAAAAGATACACCTTCTTTCAGTCTTAACCTTACTGTACATATACTGAAGGGCATCTCCTTCCTTTTCTTCACCTTCTCTCTCTCTCTCATTGTGTTTTTATATCTCAGGTTGACTGCTGATTGGCAGTTTGATGGAGTGAAATACAACAGCGAGAAGAAATGAGATCTGACCATGCCCACGTTCGATGCTTCACTGTCCGTGATTTTTGCTAGGGGAAGCAACAAACAACAGACAGTTTCACCAAGCCAAGGCAACCGGGCCAACATATAAACAAGATAAACAATGTCTCCAGGGGTAAGTGAGAGGAGCAGAGGAGGCAGGGAAGTGCTGTGTTTGTTCTCTGATCGATGCCATACATAGTGCATGAGTTCCCCAAGAACTAGGTGTAGAAGTTGTTCATTTCTTGACAAGAAAGTTCAGATAAAGGGAGAGATGCACTATTGAGATGAGGTCGAATAAAGGTAAAAAAATAAGAAGCACCGTGTGTGTGTGTGTGTGTGAGAGAGGCAGAGAGGGTTTCTCGTCGAAGATAATAAAATGTGACATTAGCTCAGATCGATCCACAGGTCCAGCCAACCAAAGGCCAGGGACAGGCCTGCTTTAAGTAGGAAAATAAAGAGTGAAAACCAAAACATTCAAATTACACTGTCATATCCCTCCACAGAGGTTTGATTCCCTCCAATCAACACCCATAAACCCTGGCTATTGCCGAGCTCTCAGAGAAAATTAAAAGACAAAATTGCCTTCATAAATATTAATCTGTGTAAGGCAGAGGTTGTGCCCTTCACAATTATTCATGCTCTCTGGAGCGCATTTGTCAAGAGTAAACAGTATCCTCCTGTTTACCTAATGCAGAACATTCGGTAGGTGAGTGGTCATAATTGATGCCTTCATATTCTATTCCTAAGGATGTAATTAAACACAGTCTGCTATAGAACACATTCATCTCTTTCCTCCCGCTTCCATACCGCTCACACAAATGTGCAGAAGTACGCTTCCTCACAATTGCACTCTTATCCGTTTCTTCAACAGCAGTACCTCGGTTCAGAGTTAATTTCACAGCATTTGGCGTGTTATTAACATCCTTGGGCCTGCAAGTATGCTGGAGATGGCCTCTGCCTTAGTGTTTCTGTGTTTTTTTTTCTGGTGTAATTTATTATTAGCTGCTTGCTTAAGTGTGACGGAATCATTAATGAGCAGAAAATATGTCAATAATACTTTTCTCTACGCCTTTATGTGCTGTTATTGTACATGAAGTATGGATTACAATTGTCTGCCCAATATATCTTCTGTTTCCATGCTCATATATTTCACTCAAGGGGTGTGCAATATGGATATATATCTTAATCTGAAATTTTATATATACTGAACAAAATTATAAACGCAACACTTTTGTTTTTGCCCCCATTCATCATGAGCTTTCTCTATGTACACATAAGGCCTGTTTCTCTCAAACATTGTTCACAAATCTGTCAAAAGCTGTGTTAGTGAGCACTTCTCCTTTGCCGAGATAATCCATCCACCTCACAGGTGTGGCATATCAAGATTCTGATCAGACAGCGTGCGGATTGCACAGGTGTGCCTTAGGCTGGCCACAATAAAAGGCCACTTGTGAACAATATTTGAGAGACATAAGCCTTTTGTGTACATAGAGAAAGTCTTAGATCTTTGAGTTCAGCTCATGATGAATGGGGGCAAAAACAAAAGTGTTGCATTTATAATTTTGTAGTATAATGCAGTGTAGTATACAGGTGCATCTTAAAAAAATCATAAATGTGGAAAAGTTCATTGTTAGCACCAGAACCAGACTGCGAGATTAAAGGCTCAGGATAAGAGCTCTTCTCAGGTCGACACTTCTGTATTATAATTATCTTTATTTTAAAATTGTATTAGTTTTGAGATATTAGAGTTTTGATTTCCATGAGCTGTAATGAGTAATCATAAAGATTTAAAGAAAAAAAGATTTAAATATTCCACTTTTGTGTAATAAATCTAGAATATATGAAGGTTTAAAAAAAATGGAAAAACAAGCTTTTTCCACGATATTCAGATTTTTTAAGATGTACCTGCATATTAGATACTGACTTTTTAAAACAGTAATCTCTCCTAACAATTTTTCCCACCATCCTCCCAAGTCTTTACTCTCTTACTACTGCCCCAATCACACCACTCCACTCCAGCATGTGGAGATATCCAAAGCCTGCTAACGACTGCTAAGCTATCATTAGACAATTGCTATTGCTATCACTTCATTATTCAGACACTATTCAGACACTGATTATTCTTAAACTCAGACATTGAGTTCACATAATACTTACCTGCCAAGGCTCCAATTTTTTCTCCTGGATTTCAAGGCCATCTCCCGGCACCCTCCCGTTTTGTTGTTGTCCAGTGAAACTCCTGTAATTTGCATGGCCTCAAACTTTATTAACAATAATCATCATTCACGGGTGGATATTTTGGATATTTGTCTGACGTCACCCAATTTGCCAGATCGTTTATGAAACACAATATACACAATACACACACTCAACAATTTCAACCCATCTGTCACCGCAATCTGGCAACCCACAACCCGATCCCAGAGGCGTGTGCACAGAGAGGACACGCATTATTACGGGAGCAGAGAGACCACTGTTTGTTTCTCGCCATAAAACAGTTAGAATAATGGTTTTGAAAGGCAGAGACAAATTATTTTGTCCTGCCAATAGGGGCAGCAGATCAGATAATGCTTCTGTGTGTCATTTACGAGGGCTTTTTGCACCTATATGAATTGCTGAAACAACAGTTTAGAGGTCTGAAACCAGGGAACAATGACACAAGGCTGTGGCTCAGGAGGTAAAGCGGTTTGTCCACTAATCTTTGAGCCCCTCCTCGAAGTGTTCTTCTGCAAAGCATTGAACCTAAGTTGCTCCCGATAGATAGGCCAGCTCCTCACATGGCAGCTCCATCGCCATCGGTGTGAGAGTGTGTGTGTGAATGTGTGAATGACGAGAGCCAATTGTGAAGAGCTTTATTCGTTAATGTAAAAAAGTGCTAAGTGTCTATTATCCATTTACCATTTCCCCTTACTTCCACACTGCTGCCAGCGAAGCATGCACATACTTCACTATGTCTCAGAGCATTATGAAAAATAAGTCGTGATGACATTTTGTTGTGATGATTTTTGAGTATGTGTTCATGGATGACTCAGTCCAAATGTTAGACATCTGTGCATTATATTTATCTCTGTGTCTGTCTTTGTCTGTGTGTTATATTTATCCCTGTCATTGTTTGTCTGTCCATCTGTGTCATGCTGTTACTGTCTCAGAGATATGGTCTAGGCTCACACACATCGCTCGCTCCTCCCCTCTTCCTGTCCATTCGATGTTAGGAATCAGGGGCTAAGCTTTGCTCCTGTGGCTGGACTCTGGGGAGTTGCTGGTCTACCTGTAGACAGCCACATCAGATCTTATTCCCTGCACAGGAACACAATAATACGGGGAGAGGGAAAGTGAGCTTCATCTGTGGAATACTGATGCAGGAATTGGGCATCGACAAGACAAGCTCTGAGAGGCTCGAGGAACATGGAGGCCAGGGAATTAATTCTTAAACATACAGTCTGCAGGACTTAGCAATTTTTTTTTTGGAGGAATCAGAAGAATAAGCAAGAGGCTGCTATGAGTTTGTGGGAGCTGCACAAGAAAAGGTTAAAGGGGAAATGAATTGATAATGACCTTTAGGTTGTTGTTGTTTGCAAAAGTTCTATTTTCCAAAAGAAAAATCAGTTGTTTCTCAAAGAAAACTTTAGAACTCAGTGCTTTCATTTCAATTTTAATTCTGTGACGTTAAAATTTATTTCTTGACATTGCTGAAGGAATTTTCTGTGGACACTTTTTCCCATGCTAGCGGTGTGGATCTGTTTTGTTTACATCTAGCACCAATATCTACATTTTAATTTTCACTTTAGTTTATGACCAAATGACATTCCCATCAGCCTGAGCTACTTTGTGTGTAGTGCTAATTAGCTAACGTTAGCTAATTAGCACTACACACAAAGTAGCTCCACACACTTAAGCACAATGGTAAACATGATAAATCTTACTTGTTAAACAGCAGCATTTTATATAGCATTGTCACTTTGACCATGTTGGCACACTGAAGTTTGCATTTAGCTCAGTGCAAAGTACAAATGTGCCTAACTACAGCCTCATAGACTCTTAGCCTTGTTGTGTCTAGAAATTGTACACAATAACCATAAAACAACGTGTTCTTTGAAACGCAAACAGCGGCTCATTAAAAATACGCCTTTATATTTAGGATAAACAATTATTTCAACATAATGTATAGAACTAGACGGAAAGTCAATGGACCGTTTCCTATCACTGAAATACGAGAGTTTAATATGAAATATGAAGTTAGACTTTTCCTTCTGCTGGGTCGATGCAGCCACTGTCAAATCCTGTATGGAGGTAGCATTAGCCTAAAGGATAGTAGGGGAAGACTTGTGGCCGGAAAGAAGCCAGTTCAGATTGGGACCATCTGGTAGCCTGAGAAGAGAAACTCTCTCCTCTTTCTACAGCTGGCATTAATAAGCCCCATTTGCTCCTGAGGAGCCAAAAGTAGAAGCCTAGTTGTACTGAGTAAGTCCCCAAAATTTAACTACGTAGTAGTACGCAACGGAGAATCGGGTTAACGCTGAAAAAAGGTAAGTCATGCTAGAAAATTTTTCCAGACTAAATAAACATTGTAAAAGACTGTAGTTTATTTTTGCTTGTATTACTCCACTAGGATTTCTCCAAGAGTCTGTTTATGTCTCCCGTTTCAGGTTAGTGGCATAGTTAATGCAGACTACGGAGCAGTCAAAACACTGCAAGCCATTTTAGGTGAATTACAGTATTATTCTCATCTAATAGCTGGCTTAAAACGCTAATCATGCATGCAAATTCCTGGCTCAGTGTGCCTATGGATTAGAAGCCCATGTAATTTACAGTTAATCCCATATGCACCGCACTGAAAATCCGCCTAAAAGAATTTCTCATCATCAAAAATGTTCCCTCTAATTACGTCTCCTGAGAGAAGCTCCACTCCCGCTTGAGATGAAGCCATACAGTTTTCTCAGGTTCAAATGCACGTGGAATACAGAATACAAGCCCTTGATCAAGCTCTGAACTATTGCCTTTTTATCCAGATCTATAGATTGGAACCGATGGACACATTATTGCATATTATGCAGCTGGCAAAAGAATCTTTTCCCACCATGAGGCAGAATATCTCTTTCTTCCTATTCCCTCTAATATCTTTAATCAGTCCTGTCTCCTGCCCCTGTACGGTCACAATAAACAGTCAGTCTCTTTAAAGTTCAGTAGATATTCAAAAGCAATTTCCAAAACTTTGCCATCACTGAACTCGCAAACAATAGCTGAAATCAAATGTAATGTGACTTCTTTCAGTGAGTGTGTTCTTCTGCGCTATGCTGAAATATTAATAGCCTATTAATTATAGGAAAAGTTGGATAAAAAGTGGGGAGGGAGAGACAGAGGGATTGAGGCCACACAGATCTGAAAGAATACAAAGAGAAGTGGAAAAACAAGGCTGGAATTGGCTTCATACTCTCCAACCCTGCAGATTCTCCTCAGAGACTTGTGGTTGTTCTGCCCCTTTGAAAGCACCCGCCTGTGGTCTCATTTATCTCATATTTTGATAAAATCTAGAACTAAGACCACTATATTGCTGTTTCTGTTATTATTATTATTATTGTTATTATTCTGTATTGTGATTTAGCAGGCTTTATAAAATGACATTTTTTCCTTCATTGTAAACCTGAGAGATATAAAGTTGTACTTCACTCCAACCCAACTGCAAGACAAGAACGTCAATATAGGATGGTTCTGTGAAACCTCTGATTACTTTCAACTTTAACATTTGCTAGAGGTGTGGCTGCTGACACACTAAATAAAGATAGTGAACATCGTTATACCTGCTAAAAATGAGAGTGTTAGCATTGTGATTGTGAGCGTGTTAGCATGTCTGCCTATTTAGACCAAAGCTGTCAATCCATATAAAAGAGAATTGGTCTATTTATTGTACCATTTTTATCTGACTCCTGTAGATAGTAGTAGGTAGGTCTGCAGCAGTGGTGTAGTCTAGTTTTTGTAGTGTTTTGTACTGTGATTTTTCCGTCCCAGAGCGACGTCCCATAAGCACCACTGCAATCACTAATACATATAGTACGCATGTACATGTGATAGAGAGCATTCAGAAGGACTGCTTAAGCTATGTGTTATTAACACTGCAAAGACTAACAGCCAATGACGGTCACAGGTGGGCAAGAGCGTCACTTTGTGTTGAAAAGTGGTGGAGACATTTTAGGGCTCAGATTAGAGTTGTGACAAAACACTTAGCATACGAGACGTGACAATCCAGAATATTGGGGTCACGAGAACAAGACTAGAAGATTTTAATGCTACTTAAAGAAATATTTATTGATGAAAATATATGATTGGGGGGCTTGAGGGTCCTCCCCCAGAAGATTTTGTGCTGTAAACACTTAAGTTCTTGCATTCTGGAGATGTAATTTTTTGGTATAAATCAGATCTGGTTTTCTATATTTACATTGCATTACATGTTTTCTTATTGTGCCAAAAAAAACTTTGTCATAGTACTCACATTTGTTATTTAACATTTCTTGTTACCAGCTATTTCAGAACATTTGGGAGAAAATGTAAATGTAAAATCTATGCAGGTGGGGGAAATAGACTGATTTTCTAATGTTTAGTGTTAATCACCATCTAACTCAGCTCCAGTTAGGAGCTGCATGAAGCCTTTGATTTTATATGAATCTGGTCCCTGGAGCAAGTTTTATCAGCTGGCAATTTTCAATGCACATTTAAGAATGTAAGTTACAACTATTATTAACAATAATGGAAAGCTGAGGCTCAGTATCAGTAAGAACAATGAACATAGGCATATGTGCACTTTTATCACCAAAACTCATTCATTACAGAATATTATTAACAGTAAGGAAAGTGGTCCACATCATCTCAAGCACACTTATCTTCCAAAACCATTGTCAAACTTAGCTAACGTAGCTTCTGTATCAGCTGAAATGCATGATTAAGCATCCAGGAACTGCTTCTACTACACACACACACACACAAACACACACACACACAGTATCCCGCATTGATCCAACACATTAACGTTAGGTCAGTTAACTAGTAATAGATGCAACTTCTGTTAATGATAACGTTAATGATAACATTTGACTCACCAGGTAACGTTACGATAGTATCAGCCTCATCTGGCTCGTTTCCTGTACTTTCAGTAACCTTAACATTCATGTTATCTGCGGCATGAGATTCAGTTGCAGGCTTACAAAAACACAGAAAGAGTGTAGTTTGAGTTTGCTCGCGTTTCACATCTCCTTCAGTGGTTCAAATTAGTTCATTTCAAACCTGCGCAGAGTGACCGCCATGCAGCTGTGTTTTTGTTTGGTGGCAGCCGAAAATGTCGGTTCAGTGAATTTATTCAATTCAATTCAATTCAATTTTATTTATATAGCGCCAAATCACAACAACAGTTATCTCACAGCGCTTCTCATAAAAGAGCAGGTCTAGACCGTACTCTGTGATGTTATTTACAGAAGCCCAACAGTTCCCACCAAGAGCAAGCACTAGGCGACAGAGGCAAGGAAAAACTTCCTTTACTTTCCAATTTATGAAAGAACGTGTGAAAGTTCTGCCACAAAACAATATTGTTACGTATCATCTCGCTATTTTAAGTGGGTATACGGAAATCTTTGACCGTTCCCAGTGGGTATACGGCATATACCTGCGTATCGCGTAGACTACACCACTGGTCTGCAGAATAATGGGGTGTGAAAAATCCCTTGAAGTCCAACAAAACAGAAGCTGAGCATTTAAAACATGATCTTACACCCGGATACAGTGAGGATACAGACGTTTCGTAGAGGAGATGAGTGTATACCAGTATAATGCAGATCTGTCCGTCTATCTGTCTGTTACTGTGTTGGCTTTACAATAAAAGAAAGTTTTTATGTCACGTCAACACTTCTGTCATACTGACCACATTGCCATATGCATTTCTGGATACCATGCAACTGTTAAAACTATGTCTTTGCTTTCTGGAAAAACTGTATTTGCTGTATGTACTTCTGGATTTGCAATTTTAAGATGTCAGAGGGAATTTTTATGAACCGTTATGGTGCAGCGGGAGAATTACTGTATGCAGATTTGTGGTAAAAGCGGAGTTTTGGTGATGGTATTGTGTTTTTTTTTTTAAATACAAGCTTTGTCTTCCAAATTTATGGTGGCATGGAAAGCGGTTATGCAAATTTGTGGTGACAAGTACATAGTTTGGAAAGAAAAAACTGATTTGGGTTTTAAATCAGTGAGAAGCAATGTTGCCAATCAGGTGCTTCTGCTTGCACATGCAGGGTATGAAAATAATGAAACTGTCAGAATACATAGCAAGATAAATTCATGCTGCCTTTCTTAACTTTGTTAGTCAGTGACAGCTGAAGCCAAATATGCAAATATTATACATTTTATAGGTTGCTACAGTATATGTAGAACTTGATTATCTCTTGTCCACCTTTGGCCTTTAGTTATATCTAATACATTTAAATTATCTAAGCATATTTCATGAGATGTACAGTATAACAGACTGATTTATATTCCAGCAGTTGCTTTCAACCCGTGGATATCCACAGTGTCCTGTTCCTACCTTGTATTCCCTGAAGTCAATGTTTGAGGGCCAGAGAAGAATGTGTTGACTTCACCACTAATGCATATGCATTTTCTGACATTTCACAACAATTCACAACCACTGTGGTGGTTTTGGTTAGTCCCAGGCTCCCGTTTCTATAGAGACACCCTCACAAATCAAACAAGTCCCCCCTGCATACACGCACACTATTTCATAACACACAAGTTTACTTATCTCATCTTTTCTATATTTTTGATCTAGACTGATGATAAGCATGGACACATTATCATATTAGATCATTTACATCATAGAAAAATATTCCATTTGATATCTATTATATCCGATATAGCTTCAAAATATATGCATATGAAGAGGGTCCTCATAAAAGATTCTCTCAGAGTCAGAGAGACGTTGCTCTTAATCTCCTGCTTCGCTTCTTGTCTGTGAAGCTGCAAATGGGTGGAACAAAACACTCTGTCTTCTCCTCAGGATATTGCTGCTTGTAGAGCTAATCAGGTTGGAAATGATGGCTGTGTCTATGTGTGTGCAGGCAAACCTACACAGGGACATGCTCGTTATAAGGGCCCTTATCTCCTGTCCTCATTCAACCGCATCCATACAAGACATTAACCCTGCTTGTCTTTCTTTAACTTGTACATACATCCCCATTTAAAATTGGCTTAGCGTATAAAAATGCATTATGTGTACGCATCTTATCTTAAAGAGGAGCCCGCTTCATTATTGTACACTGACAAGTTTAACATAATGTATGTACATCTCCATGGGTTATCCCAGATGTTTGTTGGGTTCTTTTAGACCAACAGGCATCATAATCTGGTCCTTGTTGACCACATTGCCTCAGTTTTTTCAGATTATAAAGGCATCGCTGCCCATCATGAAGGTCATGTAAAGCTGTAAACTCAGCAGGAGTCCACATCAAAAGGCAGAAGGCATGCAAAATATTAGCCTTATTGCTCAGAAACTCTTGCCCAGAATAATACAGCATGTTCCCATATGTTCAGGACCTTGCATTTTAATTAACATGTTTAATCATTTAGGCTCCCATTAGGCATGCATTGGTTAACTTTTTCTTTTCTGATTCCAGCATCCACACTCAGATCACTTCTATTCTATAAGCAAAGATGTTCAAACACCAACATTTATGTATGTGTGTAACATAGCACTTTGTTTGCCCTTGCTTTATTCTGAGCCCAAATGCATTCCATCCTTTCTGAGATGCTTAACCTCAACCCAACCTTCATTGTCCTAACCCCAACCATGGAGGGCAACGGTAGGTGAAACAGTATTTGAAGAGGAAGGAATAAAAACTTTGAGGGAAACTTGTATCTGTGCCGCACTCACTGTCTGTTGGTGTCCACATGGAAAAGGCTTCCTACACGCTTCTACCGACTGAAACTGACTTGCTAAACAACGTAGCCTCCTACGTAGGGTGAAGTAGCTAAAAGTTAATTGATAACATCTAACTCCAGTCTATGTGTCATGTACATATACATCAAAGATGAAATAAAACATATTCCATATCTGAAAATGTTTCTAAATCTACTGTAAAAAACTATATGGAGTAAAAATTTGGTAATGTTAGCTAACTTTAAAAGTCAACACTGGCTTTACAGAAAAGGCCTGCCATTGCCTTCATTGAAGTACATGCAGAAGGTGGCAAGTATCACTGTGAAAAAAATTGCTTCAAGTGATGAAACTTGAGTCAGGTTGGGGCTGAGGCCTACAATTTAGAACATAAAAACGCTGGCTGAGTTACAAAAGTGGGTTTACCAGACCTAGTTCTGTCGTTATCTCCTCATCCCCTGCATTAGCCACTACTAGCATAACACACCTGAAACTCCTAATGGCCTGTTGCAGTTGAGTTGCATTGTGGGTAATCTAGGCACCAGGTTTTGACAAGTAAGAAGAATGCGTGGGACCACTTTAAAGAAATGTCCATTGTGAGTTTGACAATGTTACAGAAGTGCAATGCTAAATCACTGGAGTGCTGATTTGAGTCGTTTCAGAAGTTTTGGAGGATGTCAACACGAGCCCCAAAGCGCCAAAAAGGCTGCAGCTTAACACCATCTCACCCATTTCTTGGTGGTCTCACTGGTGGTCTTTTTTCATCACTATCACTTACAGCCACCAGTCACTCTTCAAAAGAATGTTAAAACAGCCTCTGTCTGTGGTGATACTATTTTAAAGCTCACGTTGTGACTGGGGAACGGACATCTCTTACAAGCTGATGCACATTTATAGACTGCTCCTCTGGGTGCCTGTGAGAATGAGACTGACCGGAGACATTTGCCAGAGCGCCATTCGATGTCAGATGCATGTATGCTAAGTGAGAACAACTTGACTAGCTGTCGTGGGTCATTTCCCAGTCTCTGAGTCAGCGATATGTTCTCTCCCACGTTCTCTCTCCTTCTCACAGCCCCCTTACTTTCACAGTTGGCCATAAGGAAACAGCAGGACAGATCTGTGATCAGAGCTTCATGACATGGTGGCCAGGAAGTATTTAGTACGCATTATTCACAAAAGATGGTGAGCACTTTCTTTGTAAGTAGTAAAAATATAAATTGAGATTTATAGAGAAGATGATAGATCAGGCACACAAGAGGCTCATCCAGACTACTTTGTTCTAGCTGTTTTGTGATTCTTACATTTATAATGAAACATAGTCCTGGCAGTATTTTAATTTGATACATTTCCCAAGATCATGGTAAAATGGATTGAGATATGAAATCATGTAAGAAGGAAAGCAATTGGATATTTAGATGTTACCAATGGGAGGTAGCCATTAAAAAAAGAAAGTAAAAGCCTAATATAAAAAAAGTTAAAAGCATTTTGACATATATTGTTAAATAGGCACTGTATAATGCACAACATGCTGAGTTAGTTAACATGCTGAAAAAGCAAGTGCCATTGTGAGTAACAGCAGTCGGTTGGAGGTGTGAAATGAGAGGGACAGGATTTGGAAGGCAGACTCACTGAAAAGGTGTTGCCTTCATGGAACATGAATTCTCAGTGAGACGGAGTTAGTAGCATGTCAAAGAATTACATTATTTCCAAGGTGTTATTCACAAATGAATTAGTTAGTCATACTCACCTACAGTTTTATGTCCTACAGTACATGTCACACAGAAATCACAGTCTGGTAAATCATTTGAACACTTAGCCCAAAATATATCAGTATACTTGTTAATGGGTTCTATAGTGTATGCAGAGACAGTATGCATGTAGTGTAATGAAATGATATTGATGGCAGAGATTCCCAGTGTTTTATAACACACTCCTCCAAATTAGTTTCCATTTGAGGGTGCATCAGTGATCCACAGAAAATGTTAGGGCGCATCTGTCCAGGAACCACTGAGTGACAGTGTAGCTTCAAGTATCTTAGAGTTAGAAATCAGTCCAAAAAATCAGGCCAAATAATCTCTACGTTTTACTCTTAGGCCTAACTTAGGAAATTAAACTTCTTCTGATATTTATGAACCTGTCAGCGGTTGTCATCTGATGGCGCTCAGGCAGACACACTGTAGGAGGAGAGATGCCTCATGGTAATGAGCTGAGGAAGAGATTGTTTTGACAAAAACTGAGTAAGTTTTGTGACGGACCATGAGACCAATATTGTGTTTCCCCTGCAGAAATCAGGATTCTTGCAGCCTTCCAGCCTTTGTGGCAAAAAAAAAAAATATCTGCCTCGGAACAGTTTTGGCACAGAGTAAATCAATTTTTGATCTCTCGTAGATCTCCTGAGATAATTTGGAAAAACAGACTAGATTAGGGGGTAAATATTTCAGAGATGTTCATATTGTATACACGTGTTTCCCAAACTAGGGTGGCATTGCAGAAATGATTTAACCAAATTGTACAGGGTCCAGGTTAAAGATTATGGTATGTTGTAAGTTGTGTACTTTATTATCCCAAATGTTTCCAAAAATTTTCAAGCCCTTCCAAATCCGTAATTTCAATGAAGGTAACTGTCCATTTCACTTGGTCATCTGTCAATTGCGTCATATCCCCTTTGCGCATGTGTCTGCATTGTGGTTTTCTTCCAGAAGCTGCCATGAACTGAGTCTTTATCCAATGTTAAACCACATTTTAACAATACAATTGGTCGTTTTTAACAATATATGTTAACCTAATGAAGGATTTTGGTCATGTCAAGGTGTGGATCGTCAGATATCAGAGATACAAGCACAGCAAACGCTAGCTGTAGCTATGGGGTCCGGGGTCCGTTTGTTCAGGAGACAAGGAGACCTCTGTGCGTAATTAGGCTACCGGTAAAAACCTCCTGAACATCTGGATCTTAAGTTATTAGAGAAACAATCTGAACAAACCTCAGCAGCAAGCTCAGCTCGCAGCAAACTTCCTGAACGATGAACACTGCAGAAATCCTAACTGGGAGAAGCTGACTGCTATAGAGGCATGATCCCATGTTTGAAAGGGGAACTGGACAATGGAAGAAACAATTCCTTGTTCTCCATGGAGAGGTGCTCCACAGCACACAGAGGGTTTGCAATATAATTGCTGTGTGTGTGACACTCGAGGATAGATTACCAATCAGGCAACAGCCTTGGGGCCCCAGAACTCCAGGGGCACAGAGAAGCTCCAATGTTACCGTGTGTACTGGTACTGGTATCTGCTAAATGAATGAAAATTTCCTTGGCAATATGCCTCACTAAAGCACAACCTCAACATGATAAGAGCCTTTGCATGGATCCTGCTTTATAACCTCAAGGCACTGCCTTGAAGAGGGGCCCTGTATCAAAATCTAGTTTCGAGACCTTAGGGGCCCAATATTCCCCCGAGGCACCCTACTGTGGCAGGATAAGCTTGCCATTGCAACATTGCATAATATATGCCATAGCCATTGTGAAATGATTAGATGGTGCCAATTTGGATGATTTCACCCACCTGATATGTATTTTTAAGTCTTTAAATCTTCACCCAAAGATTTTTTACTTAACAGCTGGCATTAGATATATCTAAAATACTGTATATTAAATGTGGCATTATAGTCTACTTAACTAGATGATTTGCCTGCACGCATGAACTGTACGATTAAAGAGTTGCCCTATTTCCTGCATTTAATTGTTTCCATTTACACTACAAACCACAGTGGTCAGAAAAATACAATATATAATTATAGTTTCTACACTGCGACTGAAAGTGTCAAAACATCCTTCAGACGCAGAAGGCTTCATTAATCGCTGTCAAACCCTACTTTTACTAAATATATGTAAATAAATTGCAGGTAAATAGTGACTTCTAAGAGTTTCTTTTGAGTGTATTTACCTCGCTAGATGTTATGAAGAGTGTGAGACTCACACATTCCCCCCCTAAAAAAGACTTCAAATGGTGCACTGATTCCTGTTTGGATCATAAGTGATGTAATTCTTAGTGTATCCTTACACGCATGCTGTTCATTATGCCACATATATAAGTGTGAGATGTCGTGTGATAAGTCGTTAGATGTGTAGTACCACTCATGATATCGAGCACTTGCAGTTGTAAAATAGGTTGAATAAGGAGGAATAAATTATCCGTAGGTGCAGTGTGGTCTTGCGCCAGTCATGGCCAATCACATCAGCCCATATGTATGAGGAGCATGGCTGTGTCACAGCGAGAAGAAAAGGATGTCCCTATCCAGGAGGCGCAGAGTTGAAAGGTGCGTATTTGCAGTCTCATATCAGCTTTTAGTATCAGTTAATATAATAAAGCACAATCATGTACAACACAGCTCAGAGAGGCCTTAATGTTGCAAAACTTTACTGTCTCATCGCGGATAACACATCCAGACCCTCAAATCCTTTTACCCCATGGAAGATCAGCCTCGTTTGTTTACCTTTAGGGCTGAGTTATATCTAACAATCATTCGTCACAGGACAGAGCGCCCTGTCGCTCCCTTTCATCTCGCTCCAGTTTGGCCTCGAAGTACGACCTGAATGTGATGCACACACACCCCTTGCCTCTCTCCAATCCTCCGTAGACAAAATGCACAACAAACAGGCTTTTATTTTAACTCATCCTACCTTAGAGACACAAAGCATAAACATTTGGCTGCTGTGCCTTTTCATCGGTTTGGTATGCATGAGGTGACGGAGCTCGGGTAACCGCACTCCAAGAGCAGAGAACAAATCAGGAGAGGATGATTGTTCCCACTCACCTTTCGGCAGTGCAATTTTAGGGACATTAAATGAAGTGCCAATGCAGAATTCAAAGGAGATAATAGGGAATTTTAAAGCATTTGGCTGTTGTTGTTGTTTTTTGCTTGTTCTTTTGTTGCACCCTACCCCCTCCTTTCCTTTTTGTTAAGTGCAGCCAGAGTAAAGTTTGGCTAATATGTGATGTCCCTAATGCGGACATAATGGGAGAGCAGCGCTAATGTTGCTACGCCAACAGTGGAAATGTCACAGTTGACACACTCGGGCTTAGTAGAACTGTAATTAGCCTAAACACAGGAAGACTGCGCAACAGAGAGACATAAAGCTTGAGAGAGAGGGAGTGTGTTGCGATGTGAAAGAAAAAAAGAGTGACAGAATGACAAATTTATGCTGAGACTGTTCCGTCTCCTCTAACGCTAATGCTGCCCAGCTCTTCTGTCAATCAAAGACTCCGAAACAAAAGATGACTCATCAATTTTGCCACACCAAATTACCCCTGCTTTTTTGTAACCTCTCCCCTCCTCCTCATTCCACATTAACCTAAATTGCCTCTGCTTTGCAGTTCAACATGAACCAAATGACAAGCAGCACACGCGGCGCTTTGCCTCTTTTTCCGACTCATTTCACATTCAGCCATGGAAATTAAATCAGGACAGTGGTTTTTTGACATTTTTGTACCCTGGTAATGAACGCAGCAATTAGGTGGTGGAAATTAATTTAGAGGAAAAAAGGGCCTCCATTCAGATTTAAGACCCTCGAGCAGATTGTGGTTGTGGTGGAATTCTAACCAACTGGGTGTTATGAAACATGTCACCACTGGGAGGTGCTCTTTCACACAGTCTACCTCACGCACGGGGGCGGTGGAGTAATGCTGATTGATGTGCAGAGGCTTGGCCCTCTCTCAGCTCCTGGCGCTGGTAATTGCCTCCATCCTCCTCCCGATACGAAGTTGTACAGTGAGAGAAAGAGAACATGTTTCCATACTCAGCCCTTCCAGCAGTAAAGCACACTTCCCTGAGTCCCTCCAGAAACACTCACAAAAATATTCAGCTGCTATCCAGGCAGGAGTTTTGACATTTACTCCCAAATCTGACAAGACTCGACGGGAATTGATGAGAGGAGTCAGGCTGGGCTAAATATCCCACTTTTCTTGCCTGGGTAAGGTGCAGGACCTGGTGAGCCTACTGGAGAGTGTGGAGAAGATTTGAACTGATTATTGGTTGGTAAAACCAGAATCTTCAAGCCAGTGTTTGGCTTTAGTCTGTCTGAATGAAGCAGTTTTTATGAGCATCCTCAAATATGTTGACCCTGAGAGAGACAGGAGTAACGTTGTCCAACTGTCGCAGAGAGTCAATCCTCAGTGAGCCAGAGATGGAGAGAGAGAAGTGAAGAGTACTGAGAGAAAGAAATACTCAAGCAACAATTTCAGATTTCCTGGAAATAAGTTTATGCCAGAGATTCACACAAGTTCCCACCACAGGGGTGAATGATTATTCAGAAAATGCTGTTGCAGTGTAGTAATTATTTTGTTATTTTCATTCTTTAAAAGTCTCCAGAATGCAGGAACCAAAGTCGCTGAAACTCAAATTTTTCACACACAAACGGTGAACAAATATTCTGAGGTCCTGGTACTAGAGTATTTCCACATTTTTCTATTTCATAGTATCTAATCCACTACTTTTCAGAGG